TGATGTATATTAATAAAAGTTATATCAGCTTAAAGATTATAAAATAATTTTGCTTAGAGTGGTCGCCGAACAAAAATCGGTTCTGTAATAAACGAATAATGGGTAAAAATAGACAGAAATTTACGAGAAAGTTTGACTTTTTTTTACTCATTTTTCAAACGACTTTGATTAATTCCGGCCACCACTTTTGCGATTAATATAAAATATGTGTTTAAACAGTTGCTATCATATTAACAAGTGCAAAATTCTCTTGACTAGAGTATTCTCCGAACAAAAATCGGTTCATTACTTTTCGAGATATGAGTATTTATTAGAACGAAAACAGTTGAAAATATTGCCATTTTTATTTCATAGTGGTTCATTCCGGCCAACACTTTCACTTCCAATATAAAATAATGGTAAGCATAACTTATATCATTGTAACGGATATAAAATTATCTTTCCGAAACTGGTCTCCGAATAAAAATCAATGACGTATTGAGGGAGATACGGCCTAATATATACAAAAAATTAACAAAAAACTCTTCACGCCTGAGTGCATTCCTAGTTTTGTCCTCACCCGTTTGCGCATGCGTAAGGAACCAGCTGGCGCGGTAAAAGTATGCGGCCTTGTGTGTTGGCGCAGAATTTTCAATATATGGCAGGTCCGAGGGCGGAAGTTTACTTCATAAACTATCGTCCGCCTTATTGGTAAGGTTTTGTGCTTAACAGTTGTATATAATTTGAAAGATTTTTTTCTTTTGTCTGTCATTTGTAAATGTCTGAAGGCGTGATCAATGTCCTGTTTTTAATACTTCCGTGTTCATAAATGGAGGTGGTGTGTCGTCGTGTTTCAGATTTGTCTCTTCTAAGGGTTGTCACATATCTAACTAGGGAATCCAAACATTTTCTGAGATTTTTAAAGAAAGAATTAAAAAACGTAAGGTTAAATGAGGCTGACTGTCTTGCATACGAAACCGAAATTGGAAATACCAATGTCAGAGTCCGTGATCATGGTCTACTAGTAGTGT